GATCTCTTCTGGAGAAAGTTCCGTATGCACTCTAGAAGAATGAGTGTTCTGTTGTTTTAGGATGGAATGTTCTGTATGTATCTGTGAAGTCCATCTGGTCCAGTGTGTCAGTGAAAGCCCTTATTTTCTTGTTGATCTTTTGCTTCAATGATCTTCAATATGTTTCTTTGATTTTGTTATTAATTGGTTTATATAATTGGCTGCTCCCATGTTAAGGACATAAATATTTGCAATTACTAGATCTTGTTGGCTAGACCCTTTAAGTATGATACAGTGTCCTTCCTCGTCTCTTATTACAGTCTTTGGTTTAAAATCTAATTTGTCTGATATAAGGATTGCCACCCCAGCTTTCTTTTGATGTCCATTAGCATGATAAATGGTTTTCCACCCTCCAACTTTCAATCTGGGTGTGTCTTTGGGTCTAAAATGAGTCTCTTGCAGACAGCATATCGATGGGTCTTGCTTTTTTATCCAGTCTGATACAGTGGGTCTTTTGATTGGGGCATTTAGCCCATTTACATTCAGGGTTACTATTGAAAGATAGTGCCATTGTATTGCCTGTAAGGTGACTGTTACTGTATATTGTCTGTGTTCCTTTCTGGTCTGTGTTACTTTTGGGCTCTCTTTTGCTTAAAGGACCCCTTTTAGTATTTCTTGTGGGGCTGGTTTGGTGATCAATCTTTTAGTTTCTGTTTGTCCTGGAAGCACTATCTCTCCTATTTTCAGTGACAGCCTAGCTGGATAAAGTATTCTTGGCTGCATATTTTGCTCATTTAGTGCTCTGAATATATCCTGCCAGTCCTTTCTGGCCTGCCAGGTCTCTGTGGATAGGTGTGCTGCCAATCTAATGTTTCTACTGTTGTAGGTTACAGACCTTGTCCCGAGCTGCTTTCAGGATTTTCTCTTTGTCTCTGAGATTTGTACGTTTTATATTAGATGTCGGGGTGTTGACCTATTTTTACTAATTTTGAGAGGGGTTCTCTGTGCCTCCTGGATTTTGATGCCTGTTTCCTTCCCCAATTTGGGGACGTTCTCTGCTGTAACTTGCTCCAGTATACCTTCGGCCCCTCTCTCTCTTTCTTCTTCTTCTGGGATCCCAATTATTCTAATATTGTTTTGCTTCATGGTATCATTTATCTCTTGAATTCTCCCCTCATGATCCGGTAGTTGTTTATCTTTCTTTTTCTGAGCTTCTTGATTCTCCATCATTTGGTTTTCTATATATCTAATTCTCTCTTCTGCCTCATTTATCCTAGCAGTTAGAGCCTCCCATTTTTTATTGCATCTCATTAACAGCCTGTTTGATTTTGACTTGGTTAGATTTTAGTTCTTTTATTTCTCCAGAAAGGGATTCTCTAGTGTCTTCTGTGCTTTTTTCAAGCCCAGCTACTATCTTTATAATCGTTATTCTGAACTCTAGTTCCTGCATCTTACTAATGTCCATATTGATTAGGTCCCTGGCAGTCGGTATTGCATCTTGTTCTATTTTTTGAGGTGAATTTTTCCATCTTGTCATTTTGTCGAGGGTAGAATAGATGAACGAGAGAACAAAATGCTCAAAGGGTAACAACGACCCCAGAGAAATGAAATATACACTAAAGAAACCAGGTGAGACCCGCAACCAGGGGGAAAAGAAAAAAGAGGGAAAAAAAGAATATGATCAGGCTGGTGAATAGAACAGAGCTATACACTAGATTTTGGGTCTATTTTGGTCTGTTAGAAGAAACTGCATCCCAAAATTTTAAAGAACGAAAAGCTTATATATATATGTGTGTGTGTGTATAAGGTTAAATACAATGAAGGGATAGAATATGACTATAAAAATGAAAATTAAAAAAGATTTTAAAAAAGGAACTGATAAGTTGGTTGAAAAAGAAGAAAAATTCTTTAAAAAAAAAATTTTTTTTAAATTAACTCCGCCCCGGAGAAGCCGAGAACTGGGGGCCCCGCTCCTCAGTGAGCCCCCAGAGAAAAGCAGTTAATCACTCCTGTCTCCCTGGTCTCCGGCCGCACTCTGTGCTCACCCAGCCTGTGACCCAGCGTTTCTATCCCTGGCGCATGACCCCGTGTGGAGTCTCCAAACCCAGCAGATCCCTGCAGTGCACTCCCGTGCCACTTCTCCTGGGGGAGGAAGGGGAGTCTCCCCGGATCTGCCACTTGTTGGGTCCCTGCTGGAGGAGCAGTGGCCCGACTGTGCCGTGGATCATGGTTTATGGCAACCCCGAGCTGAGAGCCCACTCCTCGGCTCTGTCTCTGCAGCCGGCTTCCCCGCTCCAATACCTGGGAGCTCTGCTGCACTCAGGCACCCCCGGTCTTTCTGTGACCCCGAGGGTCCTGAGACCACACTGTCCCACGAGGGTTCCACCCCCACTTAGCCACTGGAGTGACGTCCCTCAGCTGAGCCGATTTCTAAAAGTTGCGATTTTGTGTTCCGCGGCTCTATCACTTGCCAGAAGCAGCGGACGGAGGCCCCCTCCCCCGCTGTCTATCCTCCCGAATATCGCCTTGGATTCACTTCTCTGCACGTCCTACCTTCCAGAAAGTGGTCGCTTTTCTGTTCAGAGAGTTGCTGCTATTCTTTTCTTCAATATCCTGTTGAGTTCGCAGGTGTTCGGAATGGTTTGATCCCTATCCAGCTGAATTCCTGGGATTCTATCGAAGGACTAAGTTTTTAAATTATATGGAGATTTCACAGAGAATCTTGAGGGAGGCACTTGCAGTGATCAGATGCAAAGCAGAGAAAAATGTTGCTAAAACCTAACTGATGGTACCTGCTTTGTTTTAGAAGCTACCCAGCCCATAAAAAACTTAAGTGACAGGAAGGCGGTGTCAATGATCTTTTATGCTTTCTTGCCCTTGTGGTCAGCTTCATTTAGATATGGGAGCAGAGGGCTAGAAAACTCAGACCTTAAGAGGGTGGCGGGGGCTTACTCCCAGGCCACAGTGGTGGCAGAATACAGTCCCCAGCCCACCATGCCTCCCTCAGTTGTAGAGCAATAGAGGAAGATGTGCAAAGTACTGGCTGTGTGTTTGTTAAATAAATGAGGGCGGTGCCTTTAAAATACTCAGATGAGAATGTTTAGTAGACAATTATAAAAGAGGGTCTAGAACTTAGAAAACAGTAGGGAAGGTAGAGCTTTAGAAGCTTTAGGTTTCTGAAACCTAAAACTCTGAGAGGAGGTGTGGGTTTTAATCTAGAGCCTACCATGTTACTCTCCTGGGCTGGTCATTTTCTGGGATTAGGAGCCCTTGTAAAGTAAGACTAGACAATTGATCCCACAGCCCTCTTCCAACCCTGAAAATTCATTTTAGAAAAGAAAAAACATTCTCTCCAAATGTGCTGCTCTGGTCTTTGTGGGGACAAAAGATCTTTTAGTATTGGTTTAGGGTATATGGTATCATGAAAGTATTGGATTTGTATAGTAATATCCTTTTCATTCTCCAGATCAGTGATTTATTGTGTAGAGAATTAAAAGTGGACCAGTGGAAGTGTCCCTTGATAAGCCATTATTTGGTGTTAGTAATTAGTCATTCCCCTGCCCCACACCTCAATTTCCTTAATGAGCCTGATTTCTTTTTTTTTTTTTAATTTTACTTATTTATATGACAGAGAGAGGTAGAGCAAGAACACAAGCAGGGGGAGTGGGAGAGGGAGAAGCAGGCTTCCTGCTGAGCAGGGAGCCCGATGCAGGGCTCGATCCCAGGACCCTGGGATCGTGACCTGAGCCAAAGGCAGATGCTTAACAACTGAGCCACCAAGGTGCCCCATGAGCCTGATTTCTGATGACCTTCACCTTAGGTCTGTCAAGATGGAAGTCATGTGGCTGACTCAGTGGAAACAGGAGTGTGGGTTAGGTGTTGGATTTTTTTTTTCCTTTCCAGTTACGAGTTTGATAATGCCAGAAAATTTCAAATTGATAGTCTTAAAGTGCCCAGAGGCTCAGGTGAAAGCTGGGGAGTTTGTGAGGGAGTGCAGGAGTATAGCAGGTCTCCTTTTGGGCTATATCGTCCCCTAATGGAAGCTCCTTTTGTCCATATGCTACAGAATTGAACATTTTCTTGCTTTGGAAAGAGTTTGAAATCCATCTTCACTCCCACCCCCTTTCTTGGAAAAGGTGCATTGGGCCTATATGTATTTTCATGATGTATCAGTTTCCTGAGGCTGCTGTAACAAATGACCACAAACTTAGGGACTTAAAGCAACAGAAATGTATCCTGTCACAGTACGAGAGTCTGAAATCAAGGTGTTGAAAGGGCGGCACCCCCTTTGGAGACTCTAGGGTGAATCTCTTCTTTATCTCTTCCACCTTCTGGTGATTATTGATAGTCCTTATGGTTGCATCACTCCAGTTTCTGCTTCTGTGGTCACATTGCCTCCTGTTATGTCTGTGTCTCTTGTATATCTCTTCTAAGGACATTTATCATAGTATTTATGGAGCCTGCCTGGATAATAACAGATGATCTCATCTCAAGATCCTTAATCACATCTGCAAAGACCCTTTTCCCAAATGGGTTCCACATTGATGATACATTTTTGGGGGGACCACCATTAAACATACTACAGGTGGTTGGCACCTTTTCTATTTTCTCCAGATCTTTATATTATCACTACTGCTAACTCTGTTCTGTGTAAACCAGCATTCCCTTTCATTCCAGGTGGTGGCCTGTATAGCGATTACATCAAGCTCCACCACAGGTGCTCCTCAGTCCCATAGCTGCTTCCTAATTTGTGTTGAGTGTGGGTTGTATTATTTTCAAATAGCTGTTTCATTTTTTTAATGGGGAAAATTAATTGCAGCAAACATTTTGAACAGTGTTAACGTTTGTAAAAAAAAAAAATTAAAAAGGAAACAGGATAGCTTCAGCAGTAAACTGCACATAACTGCAAGTCATTAGCAGAAACATTTCATTTTGCAAAAATGTAGAAAATAAGATAGTAATAAAATTTGATATACCTCTTTGAAGGCTATCTTTAATTGTTGCTCTTCTTTTCTCTGCAGGCCTTTTAGATAACCCTGAGCTTCGTGTGGTCCTGGTATTTGGCTATAATTGCTGTAAGGTGGGAGCCAGTAATTATCTGCAGCGAGTCGTCAGCACTTTCAGTGATATGAACGTCATCTTGGCTGGAGGCCAGGTAGACAACCTGGCATCACTGACCTCTGACAAGTATGTCTCGTGTGCTTCTGATTTCACCTATACATGACCAGAAATGTTCTCAGGTTTTTCTTACCTTGGGTTTTTAAAATACCCGTTTACAGAATTGCTAAGCTAACGGTTCATTCCATTTTATAATACTCCACATAATTCTGCTTACAGTTAAAGAATGAAATTTTTATGTTGTCTTCTAATAACTTATTCTTAATTGGATTCATACTCAAAATTGATTTTCAACATTGTCTATTGGTATCTCCCCTGACAGCTCTGTACCCTATACAACTGCAGTGATCACTTCCTCTGTAGTTCTGTTTTCTCCTCTAAAGGAAACACATGCTCAAACAGTGAATCTTCATGGTAAAACTTCTTAGAGCCTCTGATATGCCCAGTGCTATAGAAATCCTCTAGAGAGGGAATGACAGTTCTCAAATCTGTGGAGCATCTTGGATGCCTGTTGGTATGACTTGGCACACATTTTGGGAAATGTTATAGTAGATCTTTTTGAAAGCTTCTTTTTGATTTTGTTACTAAGGCTTTTGCTTTCGTAGATGAATAATACTTGCTTCAGTTACCTTCGGAGCCATTACTCCCTTTCCATTTTGAATGAGAGTTTGTAGTATTTTTTGAGTCTGAGCTGATTAAATGGACATGAATATCCAAAAGTAGGAAAATGAAAATTTCTTATCCCCAGATACTTCCTGCACACTAGTATTCATTTCTCACTATATTTGTGTTTAGTGCTTGGATACTAGAGTGGTGAAATGGCAACAGATGTTAGAGATCAGTGTCTTTAAAAGCAATGCAAATCATCCCAGTTAAAATTTCCCTTCTGGAAGTCTCCACTGATTGATCGGCTTCAGCTGATCAGGGATCAGGGAAAGCAAATACAGATGACCCTTGAACAATGCCTGCGCAGTTGAAAATCCATGTATAACTTGTGACTCCCCAACAACTTAACTACTAATAGCCTACTGTTGACCAGAAGCCGTACCGATAACATGAACAATTAACACATATATGTATTCTTAAAAGAAGGAAAGCTAAGAAAACATAATGTTATTATAAAAATCATAAGGAAATACATTTACAGTACTGTACTTATCAAGAAAAATCCACATGTAAATGGATGCATGTTGTTCAAGGGTCACCTGTAGCTAAATCGAGGTCCCTGGACTACCGGTGAGGAAGAAGCGAGGAAAGCAAGTGCACTGAATTCTAAGCAGTAGGATATCAGACATTGGACTTCATACATAAATACACCTAATTCTCAGTAATTACCTGTGGATTATTTCTCCTCTTGCCTGATTTTCTCTGTCTTTGCTTTTACCTCTAAATTGTATACAATAGGGCAGTGATGATTTAATACCTCATTTACCTTTGAAATGTCAATCGCACTCAAGACCAGACATACAGCATCTGATATGCGAGCCTGTTAGTGTGGTCAGGTGTCTGTATATCATCTTTTTATACCTATTATGGGAAATATCCCTCAAGAATTATTACCCTTTACACGACACATTAATTTTAATGTGGTCTTCCCACTGTGTCAGTGGGTAAGAGAAGCCATTGAGTAAATCAAAGTTCCATTTTAATAGTGTCCAGATACCACCTTGCCAAAAAAAAAAGGTAAGTCATTCTTTGAGGCAAGATATTGACATACACGTTGCAATGGTAGGCCAAAGAGTAAATGTAATAAAGTTAAAGGAGCAGTGGACTTCAGAAGGTGGATTCTCCTCAGAAACAGGTTTTGCTACTAAGCTAGCCTTATTATCTTAGTCACTTAAGCTTTTTGAGTTAAGTTTCTTGTTAGCTCAGTGAATCTTGCCCATTTCATCAACTCACATGTTCGTAAACATGATAGAAATAATAAGGTATTTGTTTTTCCCCTGTAGGTGTTCACTGTATTATGCTTTATAACTTTGACACTTTATGTTTTCTTTAGTAAGGATAAAATATTTCCTTAAGAAAAACAGGCAAATATAAACAAAACATGTTTTTACCTTTAGGTTAAGCTGAATTCTAGACTGAAAGTAATAAATAAGACACAGCAATGGAATCTTGTTTCTTTATGGACCAAACAACATTTAAAGCTAAAACTTCTGGAGTTAACAGGTTCTTAATAAAATTATCGTCCATGATTAAATATCTAATATATCTTTTTTAGAATGTGACAGCCGAGATAAGGGGGAGAAAGATACCAAACATGTAAATAATACCAGAAAACTTTATTTAACAGATATCATTGTGCGTATGAATAAAATTTTTAAGATTCCTTTAAGAAAGTGAGAAAGGTTTAAGGATACTTTATATCTTTCTAAAAACCCAGGATGGTTTTCAGAAATCTTTGTGGAGATGCATTTGCCCCTCGAATTTGTGACTAAAAAAATAGTTGCTTACTTCTTCCATAGATCTGCTTCCCTGTGTTCTTTTAAATGTATTCATAATTTAATTTTTAATCCCTATTACACTGCTTTTATCTGGGAAGGTGAGCCTCAGACTGGGTGTAGGCTCTTTAAGGCAGCAGCTCCTAACCAGTGAATCAGGAGTTTTCTTTTACACTTTAAAGTTTATATTTTGTTTTATGATGTATCACATACCACACTCTTCTAAATTACAGACACCCTCTAGATATTGATGCCACTGGTGTAGTTGGACTGTCATTTAGTGGACACCGAATCCAGAGTGCCACCGTGCTACTCAACGAAGATGTCAATGACGAGAAGACTGTTGAGGCTGCAATGCAGCGCCTTAAAGCTGCCAACATTCCAGAACGGAATACCATTGGCTTCATGTTTGCATGTGTTGGCCGGGGCTTTCAGTATTATAGAGCCAAGGGGAACGTTGAAGCTGATGCATTCAGAAAGTTTTTTCCTAGTGTTCCTTTATTTGGCTTCTTTGGAAATGGAGAAATTGGATGCGATCGCATAGTCACTGGGAACTTTATATTGAAGAAATGTAATGAGGTAAAGGATGATGATCTGTTTCACAGCTATACAACAATAATGGCCCTGATTCATCTTGGGTCACCTAAATAAAGCCTCCTGTAAAATGGCTTTCACAATATATAATAATTTTTGGGCTCCACCTTTCCTAGAAAATGGAAACTGGGATATGTGTATTTCAAAAAAAATAATAATAACTTTATATGTATCAGTTTTGTAGCTTTGACTAAAGATTATATTAGGGGTAGTTTTTAATAAGTTAGATGAAGGACAACTTCGTACATAACAAAACACAAACAGAATTGAGAGCTTTTCCATCATGAGGCACAACCCTGATTATGGCTTTATTGTACCAGGTTGTATAGCTGCTGTGTAATGTGACTTTATAAATAGTCTTCTGCATAGGAAGATTGAAAGAGGATTTATCAATAGGATGGAGATTTAAGACATTTCATGACTACCTCTGCATTGTTTGTTAGATCTTTTAGCAAAATCATGAAGACATTTTTTTCTCCCTTAATGGAGAAAAAAATACATGGATAGCTTGAGAAATCTTTCTCTGCTTTGCAGTTTTGCCAATTTTTTTCAGAAGCTGTAACAAAATTATTAGACTTTTTACTTATTTGATAAAAATTAACTATTTTTGTTCTAGTACCCAAAAGTTGCTTAGTCAAATAAGTTGCCAAGACTAATCGGTATTTTACTACTTTATAAGGAAAAAATTTTCCTTTTCCCTCAATGAAGAAATTGTAAGAGAAAATCCTTTTCTTCACCTAGATCTATATAGCCAACCGACAGACCAGACCATTGCATCACCTTATTTTGGTTTTATACCAATAAAACATACCTTGGAAACTGTTTTGTATGTCATTGCTTTTGGTGACTGAATGACAGAGGTAAACAATACTTTAGAAATGAAAACTCAGAATAGTAGTTGTCAGCTAGTAAATCCTGCCATGTTCCCAGTAGAATGATTTTTAAGCTTGTATTTCTAACTATGCTAATATCTATATGAGATATGTTCAGAGAACACCAGTTTTCCCTAGTGACCTTTCTTCACATAGTGATAGAACCTTTGATTTTCAGCTAGGCACATGCCTGCAATAACAAAGACTACATTTCCCAGTGTCCCTTGCCATTGACTGTTGTGGCCAGTGAAATGTAAGGGGTGTATACTATTTTTTTGCCCTTTCTTGAGCTTGTTGCTTGGAAGTGGATCTGAGTGAGACATCTTGAACTCTCCAGAAGAGGCAACATTACTGGAGAAGAGAATCACACAGAAAGAAGGGTCCTGGGTTGCTGTACAATTTGGTTGAAGTGCTAACATACGTGGCTTGGATTGCCTATCTCCATACTGTCTTACAAGATAGAAATTAACGTCAATCTTGCCTCAGCCACTGTTCTTCATTATAATAGATGTTTATATTAGCTTATTCTACCTAAGACAGTATATGTCTAATGTATGGTACGTTTGTAATGGTCAGTGGTTCTAACAGAACAGCAGAAAACCTGCAAGGTAAGTGAAATCAAAGGTATTAACCTTTCTGCTTTTCTATTTTTAATCACTTTCTCAGTTTTTACATTAAAAGGTTTTCTCTTGCTGTATATGTATATGATAAAAATACTTAAACCACATGTTTATTGTGTGGTTATCCTAAATCTTAACTTCCTGAAGAAAGTCCAAAGAAAAATTTTAGAGTTTTTTATCTGTGAATATTAATATCTAGCCTTTAGTTGTTAAACTTTTCTGTTATTTGACATTGGTTACCTATTACCAAATGGGTACTCAGTACTCAAAATTCAAGTCTTTGGATATGCCTACATAGCACATAAGGAAAATACTTTGTAAATTTTCCTTGTCTCTGATATTAACAAGTGTTGTTTGAATACTAGAGGAAGAAGGATCTGAAAAACTAAAAATCTGAACAAAATGAGCATGATGATTGAATGGATTATTTTATTTTTCAAATCAGTACTCCTACAAAACATTTTACTACTTCCCAAAGGCGAGTCTGCTGTAGGATCGTTTCAATACGATATTTGAGGTTATAGGGTCCCTTTGTATATCTGAGCTTTGGGGGCTTGTTATGTAAATTCATTTGACCACAAGGTTGTGATCTTGGTGCAGAACAGAAAGGGGAGAAACTGACTCAATAGAAACAACTGTAGTATTGATGAAAACAAAAGCCATCTACCCTGCCTCTAGAAGTCTTGATGTTGCATGGAAAGGAACAGGAATTTAAAGTTAAGATGAAGTAATTACAATTTTGAAGACCTGTGTTAAACAAAAGCAAGAATTAAAGGATAATTTTTTCAGCTAAAAACATACTAAATTCCTAGAAATGGCAACTTTTATATACTCATTTATGAAACTGGAGAACAGATCATATGTGAGAAAAGAGCACAAGAGAAGGAAAGATTATATTCTTAAAGTGTCTTCATACACTGAACTGCCTTCTCTCAAGTGATGATCAGACAGGATGGTTTAAGCAAGACACTTAAAATACTTCCTTTTTATGCTTTCACAGCACAGTCCTGCTGTAATTTGCTCTGTAAAAGTCTACTTCAAGAAATTACATTTCCATTCCCTTTATGCAAGTAGAACTAAACTCCTCACAAGCCATCTAAGTAAAAGGAGGGAAGGCAGACCTTGGGATTAAAACTTAGAAATAGACACACTACACATAATGACATAATAATCTACTGTGACCTATCTAAAGAAGGGCATTCAGTAGGCCACTTCACCACTTACAGTTCTCTCAACTTTGCCTAAAAATGGATCATGAGCAGACAGCAATTTCTCAAATTTGTAAAAGAGGCCAGATAGCAAAAGCTTTGCCAATGATTTATATTGCAAGTTTAACACATTGAACATGCAAAGAATGTAAAACTTTAACAAATCTGAAAATTTTCTATGCATTCTATAGAATTTTTTGAGAAAAAAATGAAACTGTCTTTGTCATTTTGTTCCCACACAATCTAACCCAGATTATCACCTCCATAAATTCAGTTTTAATGGAAACAGAAGACTCTAAATCCTCTTGTTTGGAAATTGTGAGATTTTTAGATGACTGACTTGATTTTCACTTGTAGAAACTGGATAGGAGGCTGCTTAATGAAAATCCTAAAATAACAAAACATAGTAAGCATTAGTAATAACATCCTTGTTAAGAGAACAAAATATCTACATAATGTGAAGAATGTGTCACCAGAAAGTTATTTTAATGGTCCTATGTGATGGGGGAGGGGGGGATCCTCAGGATGGCGGCAGAGTAGGGGACCTTGTTTCATCTGGTCACTTGAATTTAGCTGGATATCTACCAAACCATTATGAACACACAAATTCAATCTCAGATGTGAGATTTATGTGGATCTCTTCAAGCACAAAAATGACTACCTTTTGCAAGGCAGGAGGTGCGGAACCTTGAATCTTCGGGGGGGGGGGGGAATACTGGGAGATAAACGGAGGGAGAGTGATATAACAATGGAGCATAAAATCGGAACCTTAGAAATCTGCTCCAGTGAGAGACATCCCTGGGATAAATAGAGCAGAATTCTAGGGGGATCATTGTCTCAGGATTCCAGGAGGCTCAGAAAAAATGGGGGAGCCTGAACTGATAGAGTGCCCAAGCAGTGGAGCGGGGAGACTGGTTATGGTCAGCAAGCCAGGAAGGGACTCTCAACTCCGGTCACCATAAACCAAGACCTGGGCTGGTAGGAGGGCCGCTCTCTGAGGACGCTGAAAAGGACTAGAAGGTGCAGGCTCTTTAACATTCCAGAGGAGATAGGAAATGGCTTGCGCCCACAACAGGGCAACAGCTCTCAGGGCAGTGTGGCACTCGAAAGGACACTAGAGCGGCACCCTGCCGCGACCTGGGAGCTGCAGAAGAGGGTGCACGTGTGAGCCCACGGCTGCTTGCAACTAGAAAGGCACAAAGCGCAGAGATGCCCAAAGGTCCCTGGAACTCCCCTGGGAGAGTTGCAGTGGGTACAGATAGGGCAAAGCTGTGGAGTTTGGTACACAGAGAAGTGGAGATGGTTTGACCTGGAGGATTTATTGAGGAAAAGGAACCACGACCTTGTGGCTCTGGGCCAGGGATTCCTGCACAGCCATATGTGCTCTGACCCTCTGAAGAGAAGTGGAAAGCTGAAAGGAACAAAAGCCACACAGACGACCAGCTCACATTAAGCCCATCCCCGGGACAAGGGGTATGGCAACTCCACTCAGGCAAAGATGCCTGAAAAGCTGAATAGAAGGCCCCTACCCCAGAAGACAAATTGGGAAAACTAATGAATGACAAGCTTATTTCCCACAGGACTGTAAAACTCCAGCGCCAGGGGAAAATAATATATTGAGCTCCAAGTGTTCCCTCATGACTCGTTTATACTTCAGGCTAAAATTTTACTTTTTTTTTTTTTTTTACCCTATTCCCGTTTCAAATAGATTATTTCCCAACTTATGTCCTTAAGTTACTTTTTAACTATAGATTTTATAGATTTATGCCATTTTATAAATTTATGCTCCATACTAGTCCGTTTTGCACTCTATTCAATTTTATCTTGATATATATGTAAGTTCTGGTTTCTTTGCAATTTGGGGATACAGTGTCTTCCAAAACAGACCAAAAATCAATCAGGAACAGGCAGATCACTCTGCCTTGTCCATCCTGAGAAATTATAATCCCCCCCCCTTTTTTTTTTTTTACTGTTTTGGATCATCTTGGCTTTGTTTGCACATCTGGTAGCTTCTGACCACTTTGGAATTGTTCTAGGGTGCATTTTGCTTGGGTCATGGTTGATATTTTGGACTCTGTTCATTTGCTCAACCATCCCTCGACAGAATGATGGAGGAACTCTCAACAAAGAAAGGGACCAGACACAATGTCCTCTGCCATAGAACTAATGGATATGGATATAAGCAAGATATCAGAGATAGAATTCAGGATAGCAATCATAAAGTCAATACCTAGCCTTGTAAAAAGCATTAGTGACTACAGAATCTCTAAGGGCAGAAATGAGATCTAATCAGGCCAAACTTAAAAATGCTATAAATGAGATGCAGTCTAAATTGGATGCTCTAATAGCTAGGGTAAGTGAGGCAGAAGAGAGAATAAGTGACATAGAAGACAGGCTGATAGAAAGGAAGGAAATTGAGGAAAACAGGTATAGGAAGCTAGTAGGTCATGAAAAAAGGCTTGGACAGATTAATGATGCCATGAAACATTGCAATGTCAGAATTTTGGGATCCCAAGGGGGTGAAGAGAGGAGAGAGGACTAGAAGGTATATTTGAGCAAATGATAGGTGAGAACTTCCCTAATCTGGGGAAGAAAACAAGCATTCATGTCTAAAAGGCACAGAAGACCCCTCCCAAAATCAATAAAAATAGATCAACACCCTGACATAAAATAGTGAAGCTTGCAAAGCCAAAGAAGCTATCCTGAGCACAGCTAGGGGGAAGAGATTTCTTACATATAGAAGGAGGAACTTCAGAATAACATCAGACCTATCCACAGAAACCTGGCAGGCTAGAAAGGGCTGGCAAGACATTTAAGGTACTAAGTGAGAAGAATATGCAGCCAAGAATACTTTATCCAGCAAGGTTGTCATTCAGAATGGACAGAGAGATAAAGAGTTTCTAGGACAGGCAGAAACTGAAAGAATGTGTGACCACCAAACCAACCCTGCAATATATACTGAGGATTCTGTAAGCTGGAGTGCCAATTCTCATATCAGACAAATTAGATTTTATTTTTTTAAAGATTTTTATTTATTTATTTGACAGAGAGAAAGAGACAGCATGAGAGGGAACACAAGCAGGGGGAGCGGGAGAAGGAGAAGCAGGCTTCCTGCTGAGCAGGGAGCCCAATGCGGGGCTCGATCCCAGGACCCTGGGATCATGACCTGAGCCGAAGGCAGCCACTTAACCGGCTGAGCCACTCAGCACCCCCAGACAAATTAGATTTTAAACCAAAAACTGTAGTAAGAGATGTAGAAGGACACTATATCATACTTAAAGGATCTATCCAACAAGATCTAGCAATTGTAAATATCTATGCCCCCAACATGGGAGCAGCCAATTATATAAACCAAATAATAACCAAAATAAAGAAACATATGGATAATAATACCTTAATAGTAGGAGACCTCAACACTCCACTCACAGCAATGGACAGATTATCTAAGCAGAAGGTCAACAAGGAAACACAGGCTTTCAATGACACACTGGACCAGATGGACCTCATAGATATATACAGAACATTCCATCCTAAAACAACAGAACACTCTTTCTTCTCGAGTGCACATGGAACTTTCTCCAGAATAGATCACATATTGGGTAACAAATAAGGTCTCAACCAATACCAAAAGATTGAGATTATTCCTTGCATATTCTCAGACCATAATGCTTTGAAATTGGAACTCAATCACAAGAAACAATTTGGAAGAAATTCAAACACTTGGAAGAAGGGCACATGCACCCCAATGTTCATAGCAGCTTTGCCCATGATAGCCAAACTGTGGAAGGAGCCAGGATGTCCTTCAATAGATGAATGGATAAAGAAGTGATTCATATAGACAATGGAATATTACTCAGCCATCAGAAAGGATGAATACCCAGCATTTGCATCAACAGGATGGAACTGGAAGGTATTATGCTAAGTGAAATAAGTCAAGCAGAGAAAGACAATTATCATATGGTTTCACTCATATGTGGAACAAAAGGAACAGCACAGAGGACCATAGGGAAAGGGAGGGAAAATTGAATGGGAAGATCAGAGAGGGAGACAAAGTATGAGAGACTCTGGAAACTGGGAAACAAAATTAGGGTTACAGAAGGGAGGGGGGTGGGGGGATGGGGTAACCAGGGTAACCAGGTGATGATTATTAAGGAGGGAACGTGTTGTGATGAGCACTGGATGTTATACACAACTAATGAATCACTGAACACTACATCAAAAACTATGTACTATATGTTGCCTAAATGAACATAATAACAAAATGAAAGAAAAAGTAAAGTACAAATATATATATATTGCACCTATGTAGAGAATAGCAAAATATTTGCAAAACATGTTATTTTCATTTTATATATTTCATTTCTGCCCTACACAGCAACTGAGACAGGTACAAGAATATATGGTGCTATAAAGTAGAAAACATTAGCAGAAGCCAATAAACTTCATTTAATGTTTTGGTACTAAGAGGGTATGCAGCATTTTCATCTCAGAAAGTGTATATAAACTGTCCTCACAACCAGCAAAAAAGGCAAGATTGATAAGGAATTGGGAGAAAATATATTCCTTTTAATTTAATTTTAAACAGAATGATCAGAGTGAGAATTTTTAGACCATTTTCTTAACATTTACAAAATACTTCCAAGTCTGATTAACCAGAATTCACCATATATTTATCTAAAACATACTCTAGGGGCGCCTGGGTGGCTCAGTCGTTAAGCGTCTGCCTTCGGCTCAGGTCATGATCCCAGGGTCCTGGGATCGAGCCCCGCATTGGGCTCCCTGCTCAGCGAGAAGCCTGCTTCTCCCTCTCCCGCTCCCTCTGCTTGTGTTCCCCTCTCTCGCTGTGTCTCTCTCTGTCAAATAAATAAAAATCTTCAAAAAAATAAAAAATAAAAATAAATAAAACATACTCTATTCAAGGTCTTGTCATGATACTAGAATTACAGATAGGAGTGAAACATCAGTGACCTGAGTGACACCAGCAAAATGGTAGACTGGACACTCTGAGCTCTTGTTCCCCAACAAAACCAAAAAAGCAGCAAATATATGAACCTACATTGTCAGAGCTCTGGAAAACAGTAAAAGGTTTACAGCAACCAAGGCTCTGCCCACTAAAGAAAAACCCATCTTCAAAATGGTATGAATGTTTGAAGATGTTTTTCTCACCTTTGCCCCAGTGCAGTGGCAGTCTTATTAAAAAGTGGCAGAAGCCTGGTTCCCAGTTCCTACCCTCAATCCAGAGGAGGTAGACTTAATTTGCAAATCATCTTGTATGCCTCATCTGTCTGGAGGATACCAGAAGGACTCACTCAAAGTGTTCATCTTTGTTTTGCTATTAACTTGGAATTCAGGCAGGAAAAATGGCGGGCATTACTTGTAAAACCTGCA